CTCTTTTATCTTGTCACTAAACAGAATTATAAAAATTCCATGTTAATGATCAAATTTTAACGAGGTTCAGTATCATTCTACCGTGAAGAGATATTATGAATAGCAACCAACTATTCATGACTTACTATCCTGATATATGTGCATGGCTTTGATAGCTGATGAAGCCTAGGTCATTTCCTTCTGATTGTTAAGCATTACACCATTACACTTGGATTACACATGCGAGTGACTTGTGCATATTGCTGACATTTCTCTGTGTAATACTTTCTGCCCACGGAAACATTTTGAATGTCGATAAGTTACGCACAGCAAGGTGCCATTTTGTGCTGTATAGAGTATAGATAACTGTATCACAGTTATCAGATCTACGGAGATTGATTCTTTCCTGAAGTGGAGATTAAATGCAGTGTGTAACATGTTGCCACCTAGGTGACATGTCAGTCCATCCGTGATCGGTTTGTTAAGAAATAGACTAACTGCATTAATTGCGCACTGTAGACTGAGTTGTTTCGTGTTGGTTAGGAGGCTCACCATAGTGGTGTACTTTAAGAGGTTTCACATGGTTGGGAGTCATCGTCAGGAAGGCAGCCTTGCTCGACATAGGTTTTATGCTTGCTGGCATGCGTCAGCAAGGCATATCTGCAACCTCAGAGGAAATGATGCCATGTCTAAGATTCCAGCCCATATTACCCAATACTACTGTCAGAAAACTTGAAGACAGATGTCGTCACAAGAACCCAGGCAATCATTGGCAATGTGCTTATCGATTTCCGAATTCGAATGAATCAATATTTCTGTGAATATCAACTTCTTAGTGATGATTAGTGATTAGTTTTTCAAATAAATTTCTGTAATTTCCTATCAGAATAAATTAATTCAAGAGTGAACACAAAAGTCAAATTTTTATAATATTCATGTTATAAATTGAGTAATTAATGAAAGCTTGAAATATGCATGAAATTGTAAGACGTTAACTGGAATAATCGAATATTGTCCTACTTGATAACTGATGATGAAAGCTTGAATTGATAAGGTTAAACAAAAAGTTCAATACCACCTTTATTTTTACCGATTCTATAAATCCATTGTCATTGAACTGAACAATCAGCCGATTACTTTTCTATTGAACACTTAATTCCTGGATCATTGATTCGACCACCTCATGAAATACAGTTGAAACAATGAAAAAAGAATAAGACCGATTATTCTGCTTGATGGTGGCAAGTAGTGGACTCCAGGAAGCATTTTCGTCCATTTTGGACTTGTCAGCTGAGTGCATGCTAATAATCAAGGAATATCGAAGTATTCGCATACGAGCCAATATGCCAACGCAGGATGACCACTTCGATAAGAATTACAACGGGAATTAAAAGTATCAATAAATAAAAATAGTATTGAATAATTTTCGAAATCTACATTAACATGCAATGTAATTACAGTTCTGATGATTGCATGCTCCTCTCCAAGCTTCTAGGCTAAGTGACTTTATCCGTGATTATTATTTTCATTAATAAAAGAAAATGTATCCGCAGGTATTTTGTTCCAACTGGTTGCCTTCGTAACAGAGGCTGTATCCTACCTATTGTTACCCCTTTCGATGTACAGTTTCAGGTAAAAGAAGAACATCAGTTGATTAGGTTGTGAAACTTCATCGACTCCACCGGTTGGGATGCGTTTTAGGCATGCCTTGTAACAAAATACTATCTCTAGCAAGTTGAGGATGGAAAAAGGTTGATGGCGGTCAAACAGCAACATACCTCCAGTCCAAGAAGACTCCACTTGTTTTTCTGCAGTATGTGACAACCGATATTAGGGGGTTGGACAGTCTATGTGATATGGCTTAGAATGGATGTTAGTGATACAGATACATCCACACATCATGCTCATTTTTATCGATATACTGGATTTAAGTATAATATAACCTGGTCATATGTTCTTAAGCGAACCCTCGCAAACTAACATTCAGATTCTATCTCCCGACAATTACCCAAGTCCTCAGTTGAAAGAAAAGGCGGTAAGATAAGAGATGGTGTATTGAAATGTCACAATGTGTAGAAAATACAATGATTTATTTGTTTTTTTTGTGTCTATGCAGATTTAGTGGTTGATTTCAGGTTGGCATTCATTATGGACTGACATCAGTTGGAGGAACATTGGAAAACTGGTAGAACTGGACAGCTGTTTCGCTCTAGCGTAGGACTATTCAGAAGTATGCTCCCTTGACCTCGTTAGGAATCTTCAGGTTCTATGGCTAGCACATTACCGTTGAACCGACAGTTCATATTTCCAACTTCTGTCAGTTCACAACATAGCGTGACCATCGCCCAATGTCATCGCTAAGTGTTTTTCATCCTAGACACTGGGTTTGCCCCAACGGTGACGACTTTTTATTGAAACTTCAGGAATCAGTTCTCGGAGCTGGTCACCAATGAGCACTAGATCCCTAGCGGGGTCAAGGGTGCGTACTTCTGAGGAGCCACATACTAGGACGAAACAGCTATCCAGTGCTCCCATGATTCCAATGTCCTTGCAAATGATATCACTCCGTGATGAATACCAACTTGAAAAATCACTTAATCCCCCACAAAGCCCCCCTGAATTAGTGAGAATTCTTCGTAACACTTCTGAACTGCCTTTCTTGTTTGGTAAGACAGTAGAGGCATTGAATTCTGTCTCAACCAAGTCACCATTATTACTATTATCAATAGGACTATTAATAATAACACTTGTGTTACTACTACCACTGCTAATATTTTTCTTTCGATTTCTTATGAATTTATTGATAAATTTTGGAGGGTAATTATTGAGACATAGGGTATTCTTGATGTGTCTAATTTCTTGTCGTAGGTCTTCCGACCTACTAGTAAGCTTTTTTGTTCTATCACCTAAGCATCTAACTAGGCCTACTTTAACTGAAATGGAGTAGGATGGTTCGAAGTCTAAGTGGCGATTCGAATGGGTAGGTTTCCTATAAACACAAGTCTCTAGATTTCCCTCTTGTGTTCGTTTAATCTTGCAATCCAACATTGCTAGCTCACCTTCTACACTTTCTGAGTCACAGGTAAATCGGTATGCATTCACTACTGAATTCATATGTGCCAAGAACCTGTTGATGTGTTCCAATTTCAGTACTGTAAACCTATCATCTACATATCGGAACCATATCTGTGGAGTAGGACTAAATGTTTGAAGGGCTACCTGTTCCCAACTATCCATAAATATGTCTGCGACGATAGGGGATATTGGTGATCCATGGCAACACCTTCAGTTTGTTTATATATTTCATTTTGAAACTTAATAACTGTAGATGTTAGCCACAATTGTACTCCTAGCATGATTCCCTCATTTGGCACCTTAGTTCCATGCGTAAGCTCATTGTCATCCTTAAGCCCATTTCGAACTGCGTCTAGAGCCATATCAATCGGTACATTCGTGTAAAGGCTATTCATGTCAAAATAAACTTTTTTTTTTCATTGTCATAAAAGTCATTAAGTCAGGATTTTGAGTGATTTCTTATTGGGCCTAACATCATTACTAAATATTTGGACAACTTACTAGTTGGAATGTTTCTAAAATCTACTGACTAATGGATTCTAATGGTACCATACATTCTACTGGAATTATTAGTTTTCGGCATTCAATTAAACCACTCTGACTCACCTAGAAAAGGTTTCATTCGGCATATCATGTCCCCTGTGGATTTCTTAACCTTGACCTAATAACATCCACTGATTTCCTAATTTCTTCCTATGGTTCTGTCTATATATATTCATTCACTTTGTAGATGTAGTCAGATTTGTTGCCTACAACTGTTGAGTTGCCTTTATTTGATTTAGCAATTACTATATTGTTATCATTTTGAAGGTTCCCGAGAGCTTCCCTCTCTGAATTTCTACTAAATGTCAGTAACATTCCATTCAAAGAATCACCTATCGTACATAATGCCATCATATTATCATGTCATTCAGTCTTATTCATAGTCAAATTTTAGTTGGTAATGAGAACCCCGTCAAGAGCTTGTTCATCAGTAACCAATCACTTCGTTTATACCTTCTTCTTTTTCTTCTTGATGCGCATCACTTTAAACTACCTGGTCCAAATCAGAAAAACGTCTGAAAGTCTTATAGTAGCTTGCATTAACCAGCAAGAAAGTATCTTCTTCTGCATAGACATTAGAATGTATTTTGAAATTATAGCTTACAAGTTTCAGTGGTTGATTAGATAGAATTGATGGGCGACTATTGGCATATTGGCTTCTGTGCCGATGCCTCGATATTGTCGGTATTTTCGGTTTTTTATACTGATAATGGATAGTGGCCAGCAGTGGAACCGAGGAGCTACGTTTCACCCTATTTATGACTCCTCAGCTGGCTTTACCTATCTCCTAGCGAGTGATGTTGTTCTTAGTAACACTCAAACTTAGGATCAGTCGTTCCATACGCCAAAGTGTTATTCGCTGCACCACTGAGTCACTCGTCATTAATATCAAAACTGAAAAGTACCGGCTGAGGAACCTATATCCCAGTACTATCCAATTAATTCAATCTAATTATCATGAGGATTAACAAGATATAACATAGAAACCAGGATACACCCATTGTTCAAAGAAGCGGCCATCAAGACTCAGTGCTTTAGTGGATAACGCTCCGGTGTTCGAAGCGAACGGTTCTGGGTTCGAGTCCACTATCCATCATTAATATTAGAATGCATTGTTGACGTAGGTTGACAGTGCATCACACTTCATCTTCATCCTGGTTGGATACATCATACATAATGCACCTAGTTCACTGTGGAATACTAAACATGCGCTACAAAAGGAAAGTACTTGAGGAAGTGTGTCAAACTGCTGGAATCTGGAGAGTTCAAATCTATATTTTGTTTCAGTAGTGTGTATGCAAACGGAAATTCTGTTCTATATGTACCACAGTTATCTAAACTTCAAAAATCATGAAAACACGTCACCTTTTCCGCTTAAAAAATTCTCATTTTTATTATTCTAGGTAATGAGATAGATCAAGGCGGTGATGCGACGGATGCTGGTGTTGGTGATGGTGGCGAAGGAGGTGGGGGTGGTGGCGGTGGTGGCGGCGGTGGTGGTACTGGTGTCGCTGATGGAGCAATTGGTGACGGCAGACCAGGTGGCGTTAAGACCAAAAAGAAATTAGGTCTGACTGGCAGTCAGGCAGTTCGGCCACAATATTCAACTAAGAAACAAGATTTTCAGGTGATTTTACGTCTTTATGAAAATATCAGTCTAAATGTTCAGAATTGTCAAACTGTTCATGTTTTTACAATTTTGTACACATGTGGGTCTATCGAAAACTGACGCGACAATCACATATTTATAAATTACAACTGTCTGTCAGAACAAACAACTTTAAGTCATATGAAAAGCGTACTGATCTCATATTTAGGTCTATCAAGACACTAGTGTGGTACACAGATAGGTATCACTATCCACCGACATCAGGTAGTGAAACACTGGGCATCTGTTTCATACTGTTTTGCTATTCATAACTATCACATACTTATGAACCTAAAAATATTTGAGCCAGGGTGTTATGGTGCATCTAAAACTCCTGTGACTACTACTACTACTATTACTATTACTACTACTACTACTACTGCTACTACTACTACTACTACTACTACCACTACTACTACTACTACCACTACTACTACTACTACTACTACTACTACTACTACTACCACTATTACTATTACTGTTACTACTACTCACACTAATACCACTCACACTGCTACTACTACTCACACTCATACTCACACGACGACTACTACTACTCACACTCCCACTACTACTACTACTATTGAAGTATTCATGCTAAGTTCGATTACTTCAGATTCACACAATTTACAGTGGTGGAAGACTTCATGAACTGATTCTAGGAATTACAAGCTTTGTTTGTCGACAGTCTTCAGAAGCACAATGGATGGTGATTGATAAGGTTGATTTGAATTGACATATTGCATAGTAGTGCAGTATAACTGTTTCGATTGCGCCCATATAAGCGCACAATATCATAGTAATTTGATATGTTTATGAGGCAAAAAACTGTGACTTAAACCTGACCCAGTAAATAAGGCGACATCACTTTGAGTTGTATCAGATAACCGTATCTAATAAAAAAGTATATTCCACTAAACTGTACAAGCTCTACTCTTATATCTGGATTGTGGTTGGACATCCTGTACAAACCGCTGAAGTGACTGATGAGGTCATTGAAGGCTTATAACAAAATTTTTTCGAAATAGAACATCGTCCAACACTGTGAGCCATCTTTTTTGAAGCAATTTGAAATGACAGTCAAGTCTCTTACATATTAAGGGAGTAAGCTGATTGGTTACCCTGTAGACACCAATCAATGTTTTCATCCAGTCTTATATGAGGTCAGTCGTGGCCCCAATAGCTTAGTTGTAACGTCTCTGAATCACAGAGCACTAGGTTATGCGGGTTCGAATCCTAGGCGGGAAATCAGTTCCATCGAGGTTGCAGATACTTCTTGCAGATGAGTGCAAACAGGTACGAAACTTCGATCAAGCACAGTTGGCTTCCTGCCGATTGTATCCATCCAACTAACATAATAATGGTGTAATCATAATGAACTATTGATAAACACCTAATCGATAAGACAATAGGTCAACCAGTCATAAAATACATGAACTGTAATCACATAACTGTATTGCTTTTCTTGTGTACATTTAAACCTAACAAAGGCGTTTATTTAAATAATTCTTTTCCTTAAGTTTAAACGACTTATGCATAACCTATCAGTTTTCAAAGTGTATGTTTGGGATTACATAATTAATCAATAGAATAAGTCAGTATGTCCTTATATCGAGTGTAATCAGTTCATAATATAGGTGAAGGGACTAGATTACTCACTTTTCAGTTGGTTGGGCGCAATAAAAGGAAGGCTTTCATTGGCTTACGTTTTGTACTTTTTAGTAGTCATCAGAAAAGTGTATCGGCAGACCCAGGGGAACTGATGTCCCGCATAAAGTGCTGGTCGGGGTTGACCTCCTCTTGGAATGGATTAAATACACTTCAACCAAACAACTAGCATAAGTTGAAGTACATAGCTATGGTGAGTATGCTACCATGGTAACCGCATTATGAAACGGTAGATAGATATCTGTGCTCACTCCTGACTAGACAATGTGGAACTAGTTACTCTTCAGTGATCAGTCAGTGTATCTAATCCAATTCCAAAGTAAGCGATTTGTGGCCCAAAAAGCTCAACGGCAAAATCGCTGGCTACAGTACAGTGTGACGCGGGTTCGAGACCTAGATGGGATATTACTTCTCCCGAAGTAGTGGATACACCTTTCTGAAGATTACCAACAAGTATGAAACCTAGGTCAAGCAGGCTAACTGGCCTTCAATCAACTTGCATTCATCAAAGTCTTAGTTGCATTGTATTCTCTGAACTGGCTTGTTTAATCGTGCAGCTTTCATCGTCTTCCTAGGTGACATCATCACCATTAACTTCAGTATGATGTGAGGTGTCAGTATCTTTCCATGACTGATTTAGTAGCTTTCCTTGATGAAGTGGTTTGTGATTGGTTGTTTCCTTTGATTGTTTTGTTATTGTTCAGGACTTAGCGTTTTGTCGAAAAGCTTTTGCTCACTGGTAGTTCTGCGATCAGTCTTTGTGTTGAGGATAAACTTTTCACTGAATACTGTTTCATTGTATCTACAGTCTTTCAGTGTTGGTGATAACTTTACTCTATCAAAAACAATTGAAACAAAGTATATCCCTTTTTCAAAATTGGAATATCATTTAGGAACTGTACTGAAATGGATTTTTTTTTGTCAATATTAACATGATATACACATACAGATAAAGAATTAGGAAGACAAGAGAGGTCTTTCGTTTATTGAAGGGTCAAAAGAGGAATTATACATAAACATATTCCTTCTGAGTGTAAAGTTCAGCTTTGATGAATTTTATTTCTATAAACTTAACTTTATTGAGTAAGCGTTGGTGAGCTACATATGATATTCATTTTACGAATATAAAGTACTACAGTAAGAGTTTTAGTAGCATCTTTATGATACTTGATACGTCTACCAGACAGCTTAAGATAGAATTCTTCAACTCTTTCAAGTCATCTCTTCAAAACCAAACCAGTAAGTGTTTTTCAACGTAGAGATGAATCTGCTTAAATCGTATACCTTATGCAGTTTACTCTACAGGAACAGATAAACTGATTTATATAAGAAGTCAAGCTAAGAGTTAGTAGGATATCGTTTAGTCTTTACTTTAAAGCTTTTAACATTTTATTTGGTTATAAAATGTTTTCATTTATAAATCTTGTTTAAAATGTTTCTTTGAATGTAAATATGTACCCTTTTCCACAAACTATTTATTATTCTTAACAAAGTAATTGTATGAGAATTGATTACATCAAATGATGCTTCTAAACTGCACATCTCAGTTTTATGTAGATACTATATGAAATCAATTTGGTATACATTCTGGTTTTTCTAGAAGGTACACAACCAACTGAACATTAAGAAGATGGAGAATATTTGTAGGTCACGAGGATGATTTTGATGGTATTGTCTTCTCTGAACTGAATAGTTTAATTGTTAAGCTTTTATTGTCATTCTAGACAACATTATCAGCACACTTCTGAAAGAAGTCAGCTATAAGGATTACTTCTGTAGTGGTTTTATAGCTTATCCTGAAGACCTAGAAATGATTGGTTGCTTCTGCCTAAATTTTGTCATATCCTACATATTTATATCGATTGTTTGTCCTACTGAGGTTAACTGTGATATTCGCGACGGACTAGTGTGTGAATTCATGATGTTTTACTATTGCTTGATCATACTCACATTCGCTGCGTAGTCAGGAGTTCTTATCCTATTTCAAAGCTAACTGAATGAAATGAAATGAAAATCTGGTCAACAGTTCAGCCTCATAGCTCAGTTGGTAAAGCTAGTCGGTCAAAACTCTTGGTGATTAAAGTCCAGTCTTGTAGATCATTCGGTGGAGCATCGGGCCAGAGACCCAGTGGTAGATGGTTCGAGTCCGGCAATGGTCATAATTATCACTTCACCTTCAATCACTATCTAGTATCAATACTATTGTGACGAATCATGGCTGTCTCAAATAGTTAAAAATGATAATGGATATATTTCTTGAAGGCTATTCCCTGTGTGATTTACATACTTTCATACGTTTACCTAGGAAATGTACAGGATATACTTTACCACTGGATAGATGATGAATAACATCGAGCTTTTCATCGAAGGTGTTGTCTGAGAAAACAACTCTTACCCGATAAAACAAACATTATCCTAAATTTCGATTATTTTGTAACGGAATAAAACTTAAACAAGCAAGGACATTTACCAGATGATTATGTTTACCAATGCACATTCCTTTTTATAGTCCCACCCACTTATCTTACCAATGAGACATAAAACAAATTGATAGTATCCTTATTTTTTGTCTCAAATAAAGAGGCGATTGCTGAGTGAATGGACATTACTCTCATGATTCCTAACTAGAAATATATCATTCCTGCAACCTCAGTAAAATTCTAACTCACTTGTTATATCTACCCAACAGATCATTTTCTTGAAACTGCTACATACATTAGTGTGAGGATATTAATGAGCAGCTAGTTGAAATAAAATTTCTTCCATCAAATTATTCATCGGTAGGACTAAGCTTTATTGACGGCCAATCACGTTCCAGTATGCACTGACCAATCAGAATCAAGCATATAAAAGACAACGTATTTATTAAGGAAAATGGTACTTTATTTACAATTTATTAACCTCTTTCATATGGGAAATAAGAACATCCAGAAGTTTAATCAACTTATCATCTTTGAAATCATACCATTGTCTGTATTGTCATTCACCCATATCGAACGATATCATATCTCCTCATGATCCTGTCAACGGTCTCAACAACTTTGTAGGACGATTGCACATATACTGAGAGTTGTTTGTAAGCACTCTAGTTGTCGGATCAACAGAGTGCTAGTTGTAAATAGTAGGTTAGTGTGGAGTAACCTATTTCAGATAACAGCATGCATACCATCCAATTCTACTCATTTTCCGATAACTGGTAGGAGAGATTCTTCTCATCTATCCTTCATCCAGTGAAAATGTCATGTTTTGGATTTTGATCGTGTGTACCGAGAATCTGTGATTTGTTAAGATGTATGTATTTGATATGTCAG